TATCTCATCTGAAGACTCTTCTCTACCTGGAATGACATACTTAAAAGGATTTTTAAATTAAAAGGGAGCTCTGTATTAAGAACATAAACCCTTTATCAGAGGTGTTGATGAAGGCAAATGGAAGATCCCTTTGCTGGATAAATTTCACAAGGAATTCCCAGCCCACCCCACAAATTCTGAACCAACGCGTTCAAGCCTCTGGTTTTCTCTAACCCATAAAAGCTCCAGATAGTCAAATATTATGCTTCTGCTTTTTAAATATTTCCATTTAAATGTAGATTTTGACCTTCTTGCCAATGAAATATTAATAAGAGAATAAAATATATATTACTCTTCTTCTGAGGGAGAGGTCTCTCTAACTCTGTCATGTTCCCCATCGGTTTTTTTGAAGAGGATTTCTTTAAACCATGGTGAATTTATTCTTCATTCCTACCTTTTTTTAGGCCACGGCAGCTGAAAGCAGAAAGGTGATCCCTTTATTTTTCACATCCCAGGGGAAAGAAAAGGGGTAGAAATTCTATTTCTCTAGATCAATGAAAAGTAAACAAGGACACCAAAGAAACTATATCATTTCCAGCAAGATGCAAAAGGCTAATTTAATTTGAAGTAACTGTGTTCCTAAACAAGGAGACAGTATAAAGATTAACTGAGACCTCCATTTCTTTATATAACTGCAGCCCATTAAGTGGAATAAAACTCACAAATTGCCCTGCTTATCCATCTTTATCTTCATCATTGTTCCAAGATGAATTCTCCCTCCCCTCTCCACAACATTATTTATCTTTCTCACTCCTCCTTTGTCGTTAATGGAAGGGAAAACAACAAAATACATCATGGTGCTGCAGCACTAATGCAGTACTGCTTAAAGCGGATCAGTTCTGCTCCTGCTGATTTAAATGAGGGCCAGGCTGGACCCCAAGGATGCTCTACAGTCCTAATTACAGCTGCAGCAGGAGAAATGTTTCATCAATGCATGATAACATCCTCTTTTAAGACCATGGTAAGATGTACTCTAGAAACACAGGTGGCAAATCCTGTTGGTATCCAGCACAATATCCGCAAGGCTGTTGTTCTGGGTATTTGCCCCTGGGGTCCTGTTTCGGGTAGCACTGCAGTGCTACCGCACAAGTAGTGGGGAGTGGGACAGAAATCATCTAGTAAACTATGGAAGGATATAAGACAGCTGAAAAATCTCAACTGAGATGGACTGAGACCTTGAGAACCTGCTACTACCAGATGACAAATACATCGTGTGATGAAGGAGACCCCGGGAGGGCTCTCAATCATTGCTGAGAGCTGCCCTGTGCTGGACGCCTTCTGGAGAGAGCCATAAAACAGAGATCAGCAATACCTCAAACTTTACTTACCAGCTTTTGGTGCTAGTTCTCATGCTAGTGCCTCTCTAATCTAACTTGTGGAAAGTATCAAGCCTGATTTTTCAAGTATATTGCTCTTATTTGGCTAAATTACAGCCTTATGCCGTCATCCCAGGTACTCTCACCACCTCCAGAGCAGGGTGTAATTTACAGAGGGTGCAATTCTGAAAGGCAGATATTTAGAGCTAAGTGCCCAAATGCAGCTAAATTTCAATGAGCACAGGGTACCTAATTCTCTTACACACTCTTCAAATCCTAGCGCCCCCCTCTTTTTCTTTTCTCAGATGCTAGCAAGGAAAGGTCAACCTAATTTGTCATAGCAGCAAGTGAAGGCAAAAGATCAGCACACGCTGACAAGCTGGCTGAGAGGTTTCATTATAGAGCTGTTTACAGCATTTATTTCTCCTGTTGTCGCTGCTGTTTTCAGGGTCAAGGAATTGAGATCCCATTTCAGTAGCAGAGATCACTGGCCAGGGAACAAAACACTTGAATTTTACTCCCCTCTCCCCAGCTAGTTGACTCCTATGCCACCAACTGTTGAGACTGTGACCACAGCATTGTTGAAGTTTACATTAACACCTAGCGATGCTAAGTCTAACATCACCAGTCAGCATTTAAATGGAGTGTAACAACAGTCTTAATTCACAATAGCTTATCAGCCAATCAAGTCGACTAACTTGAAGTTTGTTTCCTTTGGAACATAACATTCTTTCTGTAAAGAAGAAATGCATCAGTGAATGATAATTTCTGAAGTAGTCTTTTTTTCACAGCTTTTTATATTCTGCAGTTCATATGGAAATGACCTAAATGTCTACACCATCACTAACACAAACACTTTACTATGTTTAACACCTGTTACCTCTAAGCAAAGGGAACACTGATGAACGTATGAAGGTTCTCATCAGCTGCTACCTTCACACAAAGGCCAGGTTCAGGGTCTGGCAAACTCACTAAGAGAGGGAACAGTTAGGACTGTCCCCAGGTCAGGAGATGCAGGCACCCATTGACTGGAGCACCCACAAATGGACAACAGGAACCAAGAGAGAACATGCCCTGGCACATGCACTTTGGCTGTTTTACAGTCCTCACTACAGCGCAAGGAATAGAGGAGCAGCTCTGCTGAGGCTGCTGCTAAATATCTCACAATTCAAAAAGGACAGCCGAGAGTCAAAGCAAGCAAATTGAGTGCAATTGCATGGCCAAGAGCCAAGCCTCAGAGATAAAAGACAGTAATGGAAGACCTTCAGCCACAGCCAAAAGTTCAGCTGACAATAGGATTTCTGTTCCAGTAACAGGAAAAGAGGAACCTTTAGGTCAAGTAAACCACATCTCCTGACTCTGCCTCAAAAGCCTGCTAAAAAGGTCAAGAGATTTTGTATCTCCCAGCTATGTGATGAAAGGCTGTGCCACATACCCATTTATTTCATATTGCTTTTGTCAGGTGATGGCAATATTCACATGTGATGAATAGATCTGCAGGCAATGAAATCGCACATTCACATCTCCCATGTCCACATCATCTTGCCTATGCGCTGAAGCCAAACAGATCAGTATCTTTACTTGATCTGTTTAGCTGAGGACAAGCTAGAAAGAGATTGGAGAGGTTTTGAACTCTGAAGGAAATTAAGGGTGAAAATTACTCCAGAGGAGTGCTGTGGCAGTTATGTAAGCATCCATCCACATACTGTTTTACTTGGAAAATACAAATGGGATTTCAGATGGTCTAAAGGCCTTTGGCTGGCCCTCTGCATGGCCAAAAATCTCCTGCTGCCTCAAAACCACAATCAGTATTTCTTTGTGTTAGCAAATGTAAAATAAAACAGGGAACAAAACCAATATAAACTTCAGTGTGTGGGGTTTTTTTAATCTCCCCTTTTCAAAGACTTTCAGGATAACTGGAAGAACCTAACTCCCAAGGAAGCATACACAAAAACCCCACAGAGTTAGCAGGCAGAGAAACACATTCTCGTGAGCAATTACTTATGCCCCTCCACAAGCACACAACACTATCACATCAACACACTGCCTTAAGAGGCACTCTGCACCAGCACAGAGACACAAAACGGAAGAGATTCAGTGACAACACTTGAGCCTTTTCCTCCCACTCTGCACTCAGCAGCTGTGATCCCCGAGAATCCATCTTCAGGTAAGAGCCCGCAGAGGCTCTCCATTCTGGGTTTCTTTCCCCATTCAAATGGCCAGCAAGAGAAGAAAGCTCCCAACCCAATTTATTTAAGTGTCTTCAGCAATATCCTTTACCGAATTTCAAAGAGCTGCTGGCAGTTGTTAAGCTGGTGCTGTTTAACTTGGACAGCTGTCCACCCCGGCTGAGATGACCAACTCACTTTACATCACCGGCTAGCAATCAAATAATAATTACTTTGGGTTACTACAAACTGGAGCTGGATTTGAGTGAATGATTTCAGAGCACTGGAATCCATTACCAATAACCCAAACCATCTGGGTTCTTGTCTCTGTTACAAAGAAAGCAGCAACTATTCCAAACATTAATTCAGACACTAAGTACTAGCTGGCTCACCAGTCCATGGGAGCAGTGGCACGTAGAGTTTGACATAATTACCTCAAGATGGAAGCTAGACGGACATCCTATGGAGAGCGGTTCAGAGTTTACATTCTGTGCTGCATTTAGCTCTCTGGAGTTATATGGAAAAGGTTTGTATTCAATAAAAAGCTCCATTTAACATTATTTCCTTTGCAAAGGCAAGCTGGATAACGCTGGTGGAAAGCGAGGGTTGTGCAAATGTAGCTTGCAGCCTCCCAGCAAAAGGGAAGCCAGCTGACGAGCAGGAACTGTGATTCCTGTAACAACTAAGTTAGACTCTGCAACAAATTGGTACATCCAAATAAACAAATCCCTGAATCCCCTCCGTTTGCCTTTATGAAACAAATGAGTCAGTGCTGAGTAATCGTATTATAATACTGGGAAGCTTGTAATAGGCTTACAAACCATGTGTTTACAGGCTCATTATTGTTCAGGGCTTGCTGAGATAATAAGGAAGCTATGTGAGAAGCACTTTGGAGTCAAAATCTTATCAGATATCTTTTGGAACCAGAATCAGTTTGTAATTCAGACAAGACTAGGTATGAAGGAGCGGGACTGAAGTGACTGAAAAGGAATGGTATTTCCTCACTTGGGACCAGAGATCTCAGAGATCTCTTCTTCAAAGCTACCATCTACACAAGGGAGGGCAAAGCTGAGAACAAAACATACATTCTCACCATTTTTACTGGACAAACTAAGGCTCTATGGAACCAGCCACCCCACTGAGAAATCAGCTCTTCCAAAAGGCCAATTTCACTGAAGAAAGGAAAATGAAAAGCAGCATTTCTTCACTGCATCCTGGAAAGGATGGAGGTACTTTACACCTTGTTTTTCTCTTCCATTTGCAATATATAAGGGCATCTTTCTTTAACAATCTGGCAGAATCACACAAATAAACATCACAGGACATGTGAACCAGCCTATGGAGTGGAGCAGGCAGTTGCACTTCACCCTTATAAGAAAATCTGTAAAAACAAGATAATGATTCTCACTTTCTACAGATTTTTATTGTAAAAGTCAGCAGAACTCTACAAATTTTATCTGTTCTAAAAGCCACAAACCTGTTTCATCGGGGTTGTGTGTCCATTTCATTCTTAAAATTACCTCACCAGCAAAAATATGATGCCTCTGTCTTCTGACTGCTCATACTAAATTAGAGATGCTTCTCCCCTAAACACATTCGCGTGCAAACCCCAGGAGTCATCATTCGTGCTGTGACAAAAGAGAGTGGATATGCAATAGTGTTACAGATACTCCAGGAGATATCCTCTCCTGCAGAAGCATCTGTGAGAATTCAGCAGTCCACAACACTCACAGAGAGAACTCTGTGGTTTCTCCAGACACATAGGACAATGTGCCATGCTCTTAGCTTCAAGAAAGCTGGTTCCCTCCACCTGCAGCAAATGGTCAACCTTGCTTATGTTGAGATTAAGGTGAAGAGTTCTAACACCTTCAAAGCTGTGGTAGGAGGAGAACTATCTGGCAGCCACCCTCCTTGTCTCCAGGGAAAGGGACAGTTGGGATCTATGCTAACCTATCAGGAAATCCACAAATCCTGAAACACTTTCTGTGTCAAAATTTTCTAAGGGACAGTGTAGAGTGGGCAGCAAAATGCCATATAAATTATCTTAAAAGCCAAGTTTCATGTCCTCAAGGATCAATTATTGCCTTTGTGTTTAAATGCATTTAATACAGCAATCCTGTAGAGGGGCAGGATCTTCATTGTTGTGGCCAGTTCAGCCCTGCTGGTCTGTTAATGGGATGGGTCAGCATGATGCTAACATTATGAAGGACAAAGAAAGACCAAGAATAAATCCCTTCTGACCCTGTGGTCACTTAGGTCACACTACAGGCTAGCATTATGTTTATCCAGCACCATTAACCTCCGCTTCTCCAGCACACAACTAAAGTCCAGCTGAAGCAAGGCAGCTCAGCCAGAACCACTGTCAGAGATGGACCCAAGGCCTGTCCTCACAGGAGCTGTAGCAAGGCATTTGTCTGCCCCAGTAACATGTGGAATGGCAACCACCATGCTGTGCACATGCAGTCACAAAGTCATCACAGAATCCCAGACTGATTTGGATTGGAGGGAACCTTAAAGCTCATCCAGTTCCAATCCCTGCCACAGGCAGAGACACCTTCCACTAGAGGAGGTTGCTGCAAGCCCCATCCAACCTAGCCTTGAACAGTGCAGCCACAGCTTCTCTGGGCACCCTGTGCCAGTGCCTCAGCACCCTCACAGGGAAGAGCTTCTGCCTAAGAGCTCATCTCAATCGCCCCTCGTGTCAGGTTAAAGCCATTACCCCTTATCCCATCACTACATGCTCTTGTAAAACATCCTGGTATGCTCCTCTGTTCCCTGGAGGCTGCCAGTCCTCACAGTGCCACCACTGCAGCACCATTACCATTTTGCTCTAGTCACAGTTGCTACTTCAACCCTCTGTGCCAGCCCCAGCACTGGGAGGAGCATCCTTGGCTGTTTAAACAGACGTGCAGGACCCCACGGAGCTGGTGAGTGTCCCACTTCTGCAGCAGAACTGAGGCAAGACTTTGCCTAAAGCAGCAGACACCATGTCTTGAAACCTTCTGATTACGCAGCTGGGGAAGCCCTCTTCCTCTGAAATTATCAGGTAATAAGAAGAGCAAGAGAGAGCATGAGAGAAAGAACAGGGACAGGGTGGAGCAGAGAGGGAATATCTATGGCCTTCTGCACCCAATTCTGTCACTCTGACATTTCTTTCAAATACAATTATTTAAAGCCTCCTGATGGCAAAGCTGAGGAAATGGACTAATAGTAGCTTGTACGGTACCTCTCCATCAGGCAGTTCAATAAATCCTGGCAGTGCCGTGATTTGTGTTAGGAGAATGAGCTTTTCAAGAGCAGAACTATCACGTTACACCGTCAATAATCTCACTGTCAAACCCCCCTCCCAAGTAACCTCACCGACACTTCAGAAGCTTAATTTATAGATGCACTACTTGCCTTCAAGGTATTTTATGCAGCTAAATAATGGAAGCGCGTTATTATCCCAAACTACTCTGCACCTTTCACAAGTGGAGTTGAAGAACATGCAGGAGAACAAATCTATTAGCTCAGGGCTAAATTCTTCCCTGTGTGACACCTGTTTGATACCATCTACCACTAGTGGAGCCGCTTCCAAATTAGACTCCAGGAAACAGAAGCAGAATCAAGCTCTTGCACTTCCAGAGGAGGATTAGCATTTAAAGTGCAAAGCAGCTCATGGAGAAATGCCACAGGGTCTTTTCTTTGCATTGCTGTGGACCACTTGTAGCTGCAGGAAGCTTTACCCACTGCTTCCCTCACCTAAGAACTGCAATGGGCTGAAGTATCCACCCCGAACTTCAGGGCTAGGGTACTCACAACTACACAGAAGTTGCAAGTATCAGTGATGATAAATAACTGGATCATCTAGAAAGATCTGGGCTCATTTTCAGGTACGGGGACATTTCCATAGAATCACTTTGCCAAATTGGAAAAGCTGGGCTTGTTTTTCTTTTCCTTAATGGAATAAGGGATGGGCTTTCCTCTCTCCAAAAGCTATTTAATGGAAGAGGCTGGATTTCATTTATTCCTGGCTCTTAATGCTGATCGGGCAAGAATTAGTTCCTTTAATGGGAAAGTATTTGTGCAACTATAACAAAGAATACCAGGGAGAGACTCTGGGCAGGCACCAAGCATGACAGTGCCATTGTATCCGACAATCTGAGAACTCCCAGCTGTTTCAACCAAGAACAATAAAAATTGGCTTGCTCCAGAGCAGGGTAAGCCCTTTACATAAGCCAGCAGCAAAAGTGTGGAAGACATCAGCATTTGCACATGTTCTTGGTTCCAATGAGTTAGAGAGAAGACTCAAACCAGTAACTCCAACCAAGGGAAAAAACTCAGCTCTACACCCAAATTCTGTAGCTTGGATTGAAGCATATCTTGCCAGTGACACATGCATATTCCAGACTGCACAACAGCAGAGTCCTTTTCTTGGTCAATACCTAATTAGACTGCTCCTTTTTTCAGTTCACAACTGAGCCACTGTAACAGGTTTTGCCTTTAAAGCTGGGCTTGTGCCCTTGCTCTGACAAAGGAAGAGAACTGAACTGCCCTTTATCCAAGTTATTCATCGGTTTGGTTTAAACAGCAGCGTTTCCTTGACTAATAAGTCAGATGCCAACAAATCAAGGTAATGATCCAAAGGTCAATCCACCAACAATGTCCCTTTTGCATATTCCTGACACTCAGAAGCTGACTATCTGCACAGCCAGCCTCCAACACCCTCCTGACAAGGGTGGCAAAGTCAGCTAAAAGCTGTCTGCAGCTCCCTGTCCTTGGTGAATGAGGAAACCCTTCCACTGCCTATACACACACCAAGGGCAGAACTGTGTTCCCACTTACAAACTGGGGTGGGACCCCAAAGTACCAGAGCGAGAAGGGTTTTAAACAACTCCACATCTCTTTGTCTCATCAGCTCAAAGCAAGCTTGGCATCTGGTACCCCCCTTATAACTCCCTACAATCAAGTAAATTTACCAGAGCCTGCCAAAGCCACAGAATAAATGAATCTCAGCTTACTAACCATGCAAGCACATGTAACTTCTTCTGGATGGAGCTTGAGCAGCTTAGCTACGTAACATAGATCCTATGCCCACTGCCCCCTTTCTTTTAGTAACACAAAACTCAGGATCGTTTCTACACAGTTCCAAAAGCAGCCTAGCAACAACAGTGAAAAGCACAGCTGCCTTGTCCTTCCTACAGTATACCATGGCAATAAATTTCCTATCCCCACCAGTTCAAACCCACCAAAGAGGCCAATTCACCTACCCAGTAACTTCCAGTGAGCAGCTCTGCACTGCTGGCTCCCCTAATGAAAGCCGTTCGATGACCAAACTTGGCTGATGCAAGGCATAAGCGAGCGCACAGCCCCCTTGACTGGCTAGAGAACAGTTGGGTTTTTTTTTCCCTCCCTCTTTGATCATGCCAAGGGTAAAACTGAAGATTGGTTTTGGCTCAGGTCCACCCTGTGTAAGGCAGAATGATCACCTGGTATTTACCTCAAAATCGTCTTCTCTTTCATACACAAACTGCTGTAGATTAAAGTCAGCGCCATGCGGCAAGGAAAGCTCCTGGCTAAGCCTCAGCCACACAAAGATCTCTGTGGGAATATTGACAAGATTGACTTCTCCTGCATGTTTAAAACAAGTGTCAAAAAATATTTATGCAAGCTTTTTTCCACCCTATCTGTCCTCACTCCTTAATCCTGATGCAGTTGGAAAAGCAACTCGTGATAAGTCTGCAAGCAACCGTGGTCCAGGGGCAATATTTACACTCTGCTCAGGTCCAGGTATCCCCAGGGCTGGGAAAAGGCTCCTGGAACAGGCAGCTTCAGTCTCATGGCCCTGTTAGAGCTTCTTCATGCCTGCAGCACCGGTGGGAGCGTGGCAGGGAAGCTCTTGGCTGCCCCCTGCTCCACTCCAGCTTGGTCTCTTTGATCTCTACTTTGCCATCCATCCCACAGAAAAGTCAGTCTGAGTGACTGCACATTGCTGTGTGTTGTATTTCATGTCAAATCTGAAGTTCAGGGGGTTTCCTTCCCATATAACAGGAGTGGGTGCCTAAAGACAGGGGTTGATCTTTACTTGTTAATCCAAGGAGCAAGTTCTGCCCACACTCCCAACTGAACCACAGAAGCTAAAGTACAAACCAACAGCCTCCCTTGAAGGTGTACAGAGTCTCTCTGGCACATCAGCTATCCAACTGATGGGAAACCTGCAAATACATCTGAAGGCTTGATCCATCAGTGCTGAAAATTCTCTGGAATAATGGAGATGGCACGCAGTTGGGTTTATGTGTAAAAATGCCTGAGTAACACAGCCTCAAAATGAAGCTTCTCTTTCTTCCCTAGGACAGTTCAGATGGAGATGACAGGAGGAATCCCTAGATTCAAGATGAAAAATCTCATCAGGATGTCTTCTGTACACCAGCCAGGGCAGTGCCCTTCCAGACACACAGAAATGTCTTAACTTCTAAATGCTTTTTGCCCCTTACTGTCTTCTTCTCTTACTACTTCACCTTCTATCACTGTTCCTCATCTCTTCCCATCACAGTGTATATTCCTCTGTCTTGCTACCAACAGCAACTCTATTCAATACTCGTATCCAGAAAATGGCCACAGAAACACACAAATACACACACACACAGTAGTTCACATGCCATTTGCATACTACAGCAATATATTCTGTGGAATCTGAGAGATGCTCGTAACTCCTGCCATAATATTTACCATTTCTGCTATTTCTCCTGCCCATCACTCATTTAAACTCTCACTTCTTTAAGGCACATGGTACACTGTCTCCCAAAATGGAACACTGCTCTCATGGGGGTCCTTCAACCAGAAGGGATCTATGAAATCATCCCACAGTATTACCTTTTGGTAGCCAGACACCTTAAACCAGCCACCTTTCTGGCTCTTTGACAAGAAGGAAACAAGAGCATCTGATTACACAGAGATGTCAGAGAGCATGTTACTAAAGCAACAGAGTGTCCCAAGTCACTCTCTAGCTGCTATCAGCACAGTAACCCCAGGAGACAGCAGCAGGTTGGGGGGATAGAGCTGAGCATCCACTGCTCATCGGGTGAGCGATAAGACAGTCTCGCGTGTACCCAGCATTGCTGAAATCCCAGACTTCCCATGGGAATGAGAACAGAAGGTTTGACACACATCTGTACGTGAGCAGTAACTGCTGAGCTGCCTTCCCTAGACAACGTGCCATGAAGCAAATGAAAGAGAACAAAGCCAATGAATGGCACAGGAGAGAAAGCAGCCTTGTGCTTTCCCCCCTGTGATAAAGGAGTACAGCGAACCTGCAAGGTGCGGCTTCTTGTAGGGAATGGGCCTGGAAAAAATAAGACTGACTGCACCACCGTCCCAAGAAGCACTTTATTAGAACAAAGGACCTCAATCTTCTGAAGTAACTTCCCAAAAATCTTAGCAAACGAGTACAAGAATGGCATTAGTATACCTTTTTTTCATTTAAAATACATCTTTAATTCCAAATAATCTTTAATTTCATATCTACTTGAATCCCAGAATACAAAATTGATAGCAAATTGATCCTGCCCTTGCTTATTAGCTCTTGGAGGAAAGCATGTTTGAACCCTTGTTTTCTACTGCAAGCTGATTCAAATATGTAAATTCAGTCTGGAGAGACACAAGTTAAGTCCAGCTCATTATCATATGAAGTGATTTACATTTTATCTACTTGACTGAAAGCCATGTATTGGCCCAGGTTCACATGCTTCGCTACATAGGTCTGTAATTTAGTTCAGATCCAGTGAAGCCTGAAGTCTGGAGAGCCAACATCAAGGTCATCACAACTCATATTTTCCTGAAATTAAATTCAGACTAGATCCTGAAATGGTTACATTTAATGTCTGATCTTGAAAGAGTAAGGCTGATCTCATCCCAGAACTGACATTAGGTTTAATGCTGCTTGGTAACCAGCAAATATAAAGAAACAGGGCACATCCAATGTTGTACAAGATGAGTTAAGCAGTGCAGCCTCACGTCTTGCATTGCTGCTGCTATACCCCAAGTGAAGCACCTTCAAAATCTTCACTCCATGAACACTTTTCATGGCCAACTTAATGCATGACTTAAGACTGCAAATGAATTTAGTCACAAAGCATCACCAAGATGTGCCTTCACTTACAAAGCACCACAGGCCAAACCAGAGGCCTTTGGATTATAGAGAAAAAAACAGATGCTCTTCTCCTCTTGGAGCTTTTACTTGTGAAGACTGTGGCTACCAAACACTTTCACATCATGTTTTTGCAGCCCAAAGAGCAGAGCAGGGAGGAGTTGCTTGTAACACACTCACCCATCAATCCCCTGTCACTCACACCATGCTGCACCACAGCACTCTGTTTAGTTTGGACTGGTCCTTTGGCTGTAGACACCAAAGCTTCTTGCCTGGCAGTAACAGACCAGTCATTTAAGACACTGTTCAGAGCAATGATTATTGTTGTTGTTTGATTCTGGTATTTTTAGGAAGAGGCAATCCTGCAGATTTGCATCTCATTTCCCAGAATGCCCTAGGGCTTTTCCAGCAGTTGGAATCTTGCAGGATAAACATCTTCCCCTGATTGTAATTGCATTATTAAATATGATTGCTCTCCTCTTCCTTGAAAATATTTTAAAAGCAGCAACAAAGAACACTGCAAGAAAGCATCCTGTTGACAGCATAGAGAATTGCACACCAGAGACAAACAGGAGTATTCCACCTTTAACTTCCACACGCAAAAAAGACTCTTCTAAGCCACGGAGTCTCACAACACCAGACAGAAGCTTACTCTTCTAAATAACTGCAACCATAAGAATCCTTCAGCTACCAAAATTGAGACCACTACAAATAACCGTCTCCATTAAAAAACGTATTGCAATAACTCCAAGAAATCCCCTCAAAGATCAGGGTTCTGTTCCTGTAAATCCTACAGACACAAATAACCATAATCATACAGAAGTCACCCAGGTGTAACTGCAGCAGGTGAAGGAGAGGCTACAGGGGAAATTAATATGATTCTGACCTGCACAAATGCGCTCCTTAGTTCTGAAGTTACACTAAAGAACTTCTTACACCTAATACACAGCAATTGACTCCATCCCTGCACACTCCAGTGATTTGGCTGGTTAAATTCCTTTTCCTCTAGAAAGTTCCTATTCTCTACAATGTCTCACTGCATCTTTTACTGTATACTCCATATTTATATTGACATTTCATGACTATTTACACTTACACACCCCCATATATACACACAACACATACACATTCAAAACACACAACACACAAATATTGTGCTTAGGCATGCATGTGTTTTTCTATATAACATTCAGATAATCCCCCACAGAAACCCAGCTGGGTTGGGGGTAGGTGGAGAAGAACGTGCCATAGCAAACTGCACACTCTAAGTAGCCGTTAAACTGCTTGAGACCACTTCGCTGCTTTCAAGAGCCTCAGCTCAAGTGTTTTCACTAGGCTTTCCACGTCTAACAGCTTCATGGCATGGGAATCAGTAATGCTTCGTCAGTGTATGCTTAAAAAAAAAATAAGTTCAACATCTCGAAAGCAAGGCCTGCTATACAACAGATGGTCTAACCTCTTGAATGTCAAATCCTTCTGTGGCAGGCAGCCCAATTAAAGTGACATTTTTAGCAGCATGCTTCTCTCCACTGTGCCCTTCCTCCCACTTTAGCCTCAATGTCCCAAGGGCAATTGCTCACCACACAATTACAAACACCAGTTTACTCTTGTTCTTTCTCCCCAGTCTAATTTGGAAGAAACTATGATGTGATGATGGTTAATCTAACTCCTGGGTCTCAATGAAGAAAACTCTTTAAAAAGAGAAGACCTTAAAGCAAACATGAAAATCGTCAGCTAACCAGCGTGCCTCCTGAGCTGCTGATTAGGATCATTTCCTTTTAGCCTCTTCAGCTACAGCAAAGGTCTTTGTCGTTCACCTTGTCTTTCCAAAATAAAGAAAATAAAACAGACATGGCTAATAAATAGGGGGGAAAGAAAGAAAGAAAAAAATGGGGGGGGGGGGGGAGGGGGGAGGAAGAACTAGAAGCCATTGTATTCTAGAGGCTTGCTATCATCTGAGTAGGATGTGCTTCAGTATAAAAGAGGTGCCTTGGATTCTCCTAACCTATAAAACAAGACAGTCCCTATGAAATGCACCAGCAGTACCATTTCATGGGACCAGAAGCAGCTGCAGCCAGCTGTGGTGTGAGCAGCAGGTAATCGGCAAGCTCCCACACTGAGATTGGCCGGCCAGGAGTCAGTACTGACACAGGAGCTGTGGGATCATCTGAACTGGGTGCACAGGACATGCGCCTGCAGCAACAGGGACACCTTCCCCTAGATCAAGTTGCCCCAAGCCCCATCTAACCTGGCTTTGAACACTGCCAGGGATGGAGTATCTCCAATTCCTCCTCCAGCCTACAGACACTGATGATGTGGAGATATTTCTATTCCCAATTTACAGAGGGGAAATGGTGGCACAGTTTAAGAAATCTGCCCATGAACTTTGCAGCAAGTACTGCAGGCTTGAACTCAATGTGTTCACACCCTCCTAAGTGAGAACACCTACATAACTCCATTCTGGGTCTCTTTGTCAGTGGAGGTTGACAGCTTTAATACTAACGTAACGTGATGGTCAGGCTGATTCTGCACAGACCTGAGACACAGACCAACACATCCTCCTCCCATCCACCATGCAACAGCCTCGGAAACTACAGCATTTGCAGGGAACCAGGCTTGAAAAAGCACTGCTAGAAAAGTCAATCAGATACTAACAAAAACCACAATCCTACCCATCCCCAAATCCGTGTTTCTCAGATTGATTTACTGTATGATTATAAAGTGAATCTCACACTCAGAGACTGCAGGCTGGAAAACAGGGCGCTACACACGCAACGGCTCCTTTGATGCTGCTTCAGAACGAAGGGGCTGTTTTCTCCCTGCTGCTCAGAGCAAACATTGGCAGCACTGGCAGATTCTCAAGGCATCACTTCATTCCACAGGGCTGCAGGATGTAGCAATGCAACATTTAAAATGGGTAATAAAAATGGCTGATTACGTTAAACTGGCTGCAACCTATACTCCAGCAAGGAACTGAGTGATGGAAAAGCTTCCTCCTACAAGTCTGTAATGTTGCTGGAGGTTATACTTCCTACTGAGGCAGAGCTACTGTGTGTGGTGGGGCAGTACTGCTTGGAGACTAGGGTAAAATACTGCACTCCTCATGAAATGAGTTTCATTCCCAGCTCAACATCAATTTAATCTACCAGAAAAGGAGACTGACCAATTCAGAGTGGATTCTTCATCAAAAGCACAATTTATGACTTCAGATTTGCTAGGATCAGTCTTTAGGTTTTTGTGTATGTAAAATTACTGTTAAATACTCTGAAGCAGAGGTAGCTGGGAGTTTCTTAAGCACTTTGGAAACCACAGACTCCATTTAAGTGCAACGTTGTTATTACTCACTATCAAAGCCGAAGCATTCATTTAATGTGTGGGATACAGTAAAAAGCAGTGACAGATGATTGCTGCCTATCAGGAAAGATAAAAGGGAAAGGATAACATTTTCTTAATCATAAGGATTAAATAAGCTATACCAGCATGCCAGGCATTAGTTATTTTGTGGCCACTTACAGAGCAGGGAAGCTTACCGTGTGTCTATAAACCCTGCATCACAGAAAGCCTGTTTCAATCAGCATTAGATTCTCCAGTTACACTTCATTTCCTAAATAGCTGGCAAGAGCAGGTTTAAAACAAGGCTTTGAAAACGTGCAGGAGTCAACCCACTCCTATACTCTTCTTGCTCTGGCCATGTTGATAAGTGTAATGATATTAAATGTCCCAGCCCTAAGCTTGTGAGCAAACCATACAACTGGAACTTCATTCTGCAGGTTCAGTCTCCTCTGAAAGCATTCACACTGCTTGAAGCTTTTAATA